TTATGGATATTTCTCTGAAAACATCTGCTCGGTGAGCAGTGACAATCAAAAAAGTTAACAATGTTAGGAACCATTAGGAAAGGGATAAATAATAAGACAGTAAATACTACAATGCCACTATATAAATTCATGGTATGCCCACACCTTGAGTACTATGTGCAGTTCTGGTTGCCACATCTCACAAAAATATATTCGAATTGAAAAAGTATGGAGAAAGGCAACAAAAAAGATTAGGGATATGGAGTAGCTTCCATATGAGGAGTGGTTTTAAAAATTGGGACTGTTCATCTTGGAAAAGAGATGACTAAGGGGGAATATGGTGGAAGTCTATAAAATCATGTATGATGTGGAGAAAGTGAATAAGGAAGTGTTATTTAGCCCTTCACATAACACAAGAACCAGGGGTCACCTAATGAAATTAATAGGCAGCAGGTTTTGAACTAACATAAGGAAGTACTTCTTCATACAAGGCACAGTCAACCTGTAGAACTCATTGCCAAGGGCTGTTGTGACGGCCAGAAGTATAACTGGCTTCAAAAAAAAATTAGGCAAGTTTATGGAGAATATGTCTATTAATGGCTATTTAGCAAGATAATCAGGACACAACCCCATGCTCTGGATGTCCCTAAACCTCTGCCAGATTCTGGAAGTCGATGACAGGGCAGGTATCACTTGATAATTGCCCTGTTCTGTTCATTCCCTCTGAAGTATGTGGCACTGGCCATTGTTGGAAGACCGGATAGTGGACTAGACGGAACATTGATCTGAACAGGTATAGCCAATATACAAGATGCTCTTTAGCTCATAGCTATTTCATAGAGTTCAAAGAATACACTAAAAGGAGTGTATACACTGAGAGCTTCTGTTTGCCTGGTAAAGAGACATAGATACATGAAAAAATCACTAATACAGCTTTATGTGTATTATTTATCATGTAAACACGGTAACTGAGTTACATGTGTGCTGATGTCTGTTGTGTTTGTGGTAGAACTCAGCCAAAGTAACTTGAACCAATCGGTTCCAGACATTCAGTTTGACTGGAGCTAGCTATTTTTTAAAACTCCTATTAGCTATCTTGTTTACATATACACTCATGTGCTTGCCTTTTTCTTGCTGCTGCTGGGTCCCAATTGCCCAAATCAATTATTAGCTTACTTTAAAAAAAAACAACCTCCCACATTTTTGTCTTGTTACAAAATAACAAGGAATAATTGGGTAAAATCACAATTGAAGTATGTTTTGCAAAACTGGTCATCCCACTTCCATTTTGCAGTTAACACAAGGCGTTTTATTTACTGTATTGGCTGCAAGGAGTTTGACACAAGGTACTGTCACCATTTTAAGAAACTAACAACTAGAATTTTTCTTGGTGACTTACAGTAGAACAACAATTTGGAGGGACTGTACATTGAGAAGTAGTAGTTTCCATATTGTAATATTAATTCTCAGCTTTTGGTAATACCAGTTTATCTTTGCATAGAGTATATTATCTGAGAGCCAAATTCTGTTCCCCTTACTTAAATTATGTAGCACCCTATTCCACAAGTAGTCCCATAGACTAGACTTAAAATGGAGCTACTTGCATAGTAAGGGGCTAGTCAACCGGAGAAAAGGTGGCAGAATTTGGTCCTAAATGGCTAGTACAGAGTCTCCTACAAAATGAGTAGGAATATTTGTAAAATCTCTGTATATTTTACTATTGTGGTGCTCCTGTTCTAGTAAAAATAAATTGTCTTAATGTAGTTTTCTTAAACAACTGTAAACCAGTCTTTAAAATTAATAACACCACTTAGGACCAGATTGTGCAACCGTTATTCTTACCAGTTTACACTTGCACAAGTTAACCCATTGAAGTCAATGGGACTACTTATGTAGCAAGGTATGACTCAAGATAAGTAAGGGTTACAGAATCTGCCTCTAAATTAATGATTTTTCTTTATGTAGCAGTTGAATGCAAATCCAGTGTAACTGTAAATTTAAATTAAAATACTCTGAATTCTCTTAATTTTGTGAAGCTGGAATTACTTCACTGCTTTGAATTAAGATTGACAATCTTAAAATCATTGTGGTTTGTATATTTGTAAAGGCAATAAAAACCTCTTCTGCTGCTGTATTAATGCAACAAGTGAATTACATACATTCCACTTGAATTTTCTCCGAAGCCCAACATGTGCCACTGTGCAAGTATTGGATAACCTCTTTAAACCATTTATGAGGAAAGTTAGGGGAGTTTTTTACCTCAAATAAATGCATTTCTATTTTGCATAAAGGCATCAAAACACCATTGCCAAGGGATTTGTAGAAAGTTCAAGGCTTTTGCATTGCCACAAACATTCCTATAATTTCTCAAAAGTCAAACTATATTCTGAATCCTGAGCCAGGTTTTAATGCTTTAGGAATATTCTCTTCAAAATGTGGTCATAATAACAGGTGTAACTTCATCTCATCGGCCTTTAACAAGATTTCTGATGGCTTAGCTAGACTGAATCAAGCTGAAATATCTCACCTGTTTTGCTGTTTGCAAGTACTCTGAAAACCAGTTTGTTTTACTTACATATATATCTTGCTTTTGTATTGCTTCTAGAAATGGTTCCTTTAGGTAATCTGTGTCAATTAGTCAGCATCTTCTTGCACATTTCAAGGGATGGCGATTGCAGGAATGATCATGTTTATGAGGGTGGCCCCTAGTAGTTTAGTGGTTTAATTTAGTAGATGAACTAGCCTAATTTGCCCAATGCCTCTAAATACTAAAGTCTCAGAAATACCTGAAGATGACTCATGAGAGGGGTGAGGGCACCTTGGCCCAGAGTAGAGCCAGGGCCGTAGCTGTCATTGAGCCTCAAACTAACATGTCTAGACATGTCTAGGTTTTCTAAAGGTGGTAATCATGACTTAGCAATAATTGGTTCACAGACATAGCTGCTAAAAGTATATTCAGGAAACTGTCAGTGAATTGCAGAAGGCCACTAACAACCTTGGGGAGGTCATATAATGATGTCTGGAGCCAGAGCTGCAGGAGGCTGCCATTTGAACAACAAGAAATTGGGCAGTGTGACAGAGGCTGGGGAGGGCAAAAATGTGGTCTTCAGTAGGTTTTAATAATGAGAACAAAGCACCAGCTGTAGTTGAAAAATCATAACATTATCTTCATGCTTTCTCTTGTACAAGGGGAAATGAAGTCTTGTTACACTAATAAAATAATACCAACAGGATCTTATAAGGTAGATAAGGCAAAATGCCACATTTATTACAAATAGAGAGAGAGAGAAATCAGGATATGCAATTCAATATTATTTCATTACTATTCCTTATTCACTCACACACTCATTCATACAAGTGTTGCAGAGTCGTTATAGTTACCAGCTTAGAGGTTGCTCGTGGCAGAGTACTGGCCAGGTAGCCTACACTTGAAGGTGAACCGAGTCCTTGTCAGATGCGCATCCGATGCTCCTGGAGGGTGGTTGCAAAACCAGACTCAAAATTTTCAGTTTTTAGAGTCTGTTCTTATAGGATTTTGTCTTTATACAAGTCTATGGGAATTGCTTCATCCTGCTGATGTTTGTTTGAGGTGATTATCAATCAGCAGGTGGCACATCCCTGATGTCTGAATGTCTGAGTGTTATCTTGTTCTTCAAAAAGAAGAACAGGAGTACTTGTGGCACCTTAGAGACTAACAAATTTATTAGAGCATAAGCTTTCGTGGACTACAGCCCACTTCTTCGGATGCATCTTGTTCTTCGGGTCTTCAGCCCTCCATGGGGGGCGGGAGGGACACTTGGGTGGATTCCGGCCTGCCCTCCGGGGGTTATCTCTAGTCTGCGTATTCTTCGGCCAATCGAGACTGAAGTTGTAATTCTTAGGCTGGCACTTCCCTGACCATTCATTCTTTATCTAAATCAATTTATCCTTTATCTAAATCAAGCATCCATTCACATACATCCTCTATTTTAACATACATTTATCACTTTACTATTTCTTAACTTCCAGTAACTCTCAGGATGTTGCAAATCTACTTAAACTTTAACATACATAGCAAACAAGTTATAAGCTGTGTTCTGTTTGGAAGAACAATTACAGTTGTTTTTGAGAACAGACTTTCTGTCTTAGGATGTGTTAACACAATTAGCAGTTTGGCCTTGCATGTTTCTCACAGAGAGGGAGGGACACAAAAATGGAAAAAGCGAGAGGCCTAAGCTGTGGGGAATTCAATTGAATTTAATCTAACCCCTTGTCTCTCTTGGCCTCAGACTTGTGATACACATACACGTTATGGTTCTAATACAGAAATTCTCTGGTCCAACAGTCTTACAGAATAAAAATTCAGCCATGAATTAGGGGTAAAAATTCAGCCAGTTATTCCTTTAGGGGTATAACAAGGCTACCTGCTCTGCCTTTTGGACCACCACCACACACAGTCTGGACGCTTTCTAAGATTATAAGCACCAGTGTTATTTATTAGGTCCCCTCCAACAGTTCATCAGTACAGCCTTGTGCAGCAATATATAAGTGCATATAAACTTGCCCCTTAGCCCACTTTCTGTAGAGGGAGAGGGAAAGATCCAGTATCCCCAGGCTCCTGTTAGCTTCCCCCTTGCACTTCCTTGCTATCTTTTAACTTTCCCCAGTTCATGGGTTCATTGTTATCATTAGCTTGTCAGCTCCTGCCTAATTAAGTCATTGAGCACCCATCTCCCAATTAAGACGACTCCAGGGGCAATAGTTCGTTAGCTCAGTAGAGTGCTGGGTCAGTATTGTCACAAAAAGGAAAAGGCATTTACCTCAGTTTTCAGAGGGGTTGCCGTGTTAGTCAGTATCAGCAAAAACGAGGAATCCTTGTGGCACATTAGAGACTAACAAATTTATTTGGGTATAAGCTTTCGTGGGCTGAAACCCACTTCATCCACTGCATGGAGTGAAAAATACAGTAGGCAGGTATATATATTACAGCACGTGGAAAGATGGGAGTTGTCTTACCAAGTGTGGGGGGAGCGGGGGTCAGTGCTAACGAGGCCAATTCAATCAAGGTGGAAATGGGCTATTCCCAACGGTTGTCATTCGCACTTTTATCCTTCATTACTGGGTCTTTTCAATGACTTAATACAGATAAACACTGTTCATCAATCTTCCTTTAAAAGTGACCTGCAAGGAGTTTTTTTAAAACTGGGGGGCTTGTGCACTTTTTTCTAAGATACAATATGCTATAATCACTTGGTATATGTCTTTAAACCTAGTGCTGGGAAGTGTTGCTCTTGGTTACTGTGTGTTAGTGCCAGTAAGTTCTGCTCTTCACTGGGCCAGTATATTTCAAAAATTATGACCAACTTTGACTTTATGCAGTAGTGAATCTGCAGTAAAAAGTAAGGAAATAATTCAGATCTGAAAGTTATTGTTAAAACCTAACTGTCTTTTGCTTGGGATTGGACAATGTTTTAAGCATTATAGACTTTCACGTTTTCATTGTAGGTTCAGATCTATGAATTGGAGGAGCACAAGATTGAAACATGGAGGGGTGAGAACATTTCTATTAAGATCCATTGATGCCTGTTAAGGAAACTTAAAATTATCTCTGAAAATCGTTTTGGTTATTCATATACTTAAGCTGTCCCTTACTAAGATACTTGAATGAAAACAAGAAATATTTAGAGTTAGTCTGTTTGCTCACACTGCTTATTTTTGCACTTGAAATAATAATCTTGTCTGTATTGGTGGTGATAATAAACTCTAGTGAAACAAAGGTCCTGTTTTCAGACTGACTTACAGAAGTTGTTTTTGTTTTAAAACACAAGTATCTTTTATAGGATGAGTAAATCTTAAACTAACTTGTTTGGATCTTGGTGGGTTTATATACTGTACCTTCTCCCAATAACACCTTCACAATCAATATTACAGTATCCTGCTTTGAAAGCTCTTAGGCTTGGTCTACACTACCCCCCTAATTCGAATTAAGGTACGCAACTTCAGCTACGTGAATAACGTAGCTGAAGTCGAAGTACCTTAGTTCAAACTTACCTTGGTCCACACTCGGCAGGCAGGCTCCCCCGTCGACTCCGCGGTACTCCTCTCGCCGAGCTGGAGTACCGCAGTCGACGGCGAGCACTTCCGGGTTCGACTTATCGCGTCCAGACTAGACGCGATAAGTCGAACCCAGAAGTTCGATTTCCAGCCGTCGAACTAGCGGGTAAGTGTAGCCAAGGCCTTAGTGTTCACTTGACGGTCACATCATGAGCTATAACTAATCGTTGTGTGAGAGCTTGAGAAGGACTTTGTTTAACTTCATGTCACTTAATGAACTGTTCCTAAATATAAACGCTCTCCAACTGCCTACGGTTTTTAAAATCTCTCCTACTGTTTTAAACACAGTTTGTGGAATGTAGCCGTTGGTTGGTTGGTTTTTCCAGATTTATGTTAACAAATTGTGGTAGCAATTTCCAATATATTTTATAGTCATGAGCTAGTTACCTTTTAAAAATGACAACTTAGAAAAGAGAATTGTAAGCTAACATTTAATGATGTTGTATAGAGATGATTGTCATACAACATTTTATCGTCACTTCATGCTGATTTAAAGGAGTTAAGCAAAACATTGAAAATCAAAAAGTTGATTAACTTTAAAATTGTCAACTTAGTCTTCTAAAAGTCACCAGCTAAAAGTTCTTAATGTTTGTTTCATATAAATCTAAATATAAAATCCACTCTTGATGCATGTGCACTCAAGATTAGCATGTTGGGGCCAGCTGACCCTGAGTTCCTCCTTACCACCCACCCAAGGCTGTGAGGAAGAGTGACACTGCTCATAGTTTCTCTTGCAAGCTTAAAAAAAATTGTGTAAATAGTTATCTTCTTAGTATAGGCCTTGGTATTTAGGATAGATGGGTTTTAATGGGCTTCTGTTCTGGGTAGCAGGGCTTTTTATTCCTGGTACCAAACTACAGCCCTTATGGTTGAGCAAAAATATCTGTGGTGTAAATATTGTCCATCTTGTGAGGTGGCTATGTCCCTCAATGATAGACATACAAGATGCCTGTTATGCCTGAGTGGGGGCATATTACTGATACATGGACTGTTTGTTATCATTTTCTAAACACACTAAAAAGGCAATAGAGACTCACCTAAAACTTTTATCTGCTGGACAAATCAATGAGACCTGCCTCTGATCCAGGTAAACGAAATTTACCCAGATCTGAGCAGTCTTCCACCAGAAGTACCCGATAAGTGTGGACATTATGGCCAGCTCTAGAACTCCTCTTCTGAAACATTCTTCTTCTGCTATTATTACCAAGTCCTCTTCAGAGACTGATTTGGTAGGATACAGCACCACTCTTCTAAAGAGCATATATACAGGTGTTAGGAACCTGGCAAAAAGAAAAGGCATAAATCACCTCAGCCTTCCTGGTACAAAGCTGAAGCTGGGATCCTCTGTCACCTAAAAAGACTCCATACACCAGTACCAGATAAGGAGCACCCTCAAAGCAGTCTCCAATATACACTGCACGGCACTGCCTTTGGGAAGCCCAGTACTGACATCAAGGCTTTTACTGTTCCTGTACCAGCGACTTCCTAACTTTCAGAATTGTTGCTCACGGTACCAACAGTCTTGAGACAGAGATTCACTGTATTTGGGGGGGGGGGGGAGCAAGGGGAGAAGGGGGAATCTACTTTTGTCTGCCCTCCCTGAGTCACAGTTGTTACCTTTGGTTGTGGACATTCCCTTATCTGTACACACGACATTTCCTCAGTACCGAGTAGGTCTTCTGGATCATCTAAAGATTTTCCTATATCAGGACCTGGGATGCCTGCCAAATCAGCTCCACTATTGGAAGAAAAGTGTTCTTTCTTATCCACTTCAAACCGCACTGGGGAGGGTTCATTCACATGCTCCAAGATCTCTTTTATCTGACCCTCCTACATCCAATAAGAAGTCCAAGGCTCAAAATTTACCCTAGTAGATATAAGGGATATAAGAAGGGAACCTGGTACCTTCCCTGTGGCCCTCAACTCGTTTAGCTTATAGCTGTCATTTATGGCCATTGTGGGCACTAGGGGGCTTCCATCACACCAGAAAACCTTCCTCTGCCCTCTCCAGGCCCTATCTCCCTCCCTGAAGGTCCAACAGCGTTAGCAATCCCAGATGTCACTTGCTGATCCTCAACTATTACAAGTTTTCTAATGAAAAAATCATCAGTAAGCTGAACTTGCCCCTGCTGCCATTTCATTGTCATCCCCTGACAAAGCTATGGTCCCATCTGCTCCATCACCCCAACAACTACAAGGCTTTTCAAGACCTTCTTTTGTCAGATGGCAGAGCTGTTAGGCATTACAGCTGAGTAAGTGCAAGAGAAATTCCATAAACAGTTACACATCCTGTGCACCTGAATGCCTGACAGACTGTCTATGCCACTCAGTGGAGGACTCTTATAACCTGCACGGTGCTTATAGCAGACTCCTGCATCTGTTTCACTGAAATCTAAAAAAGGTAGAGAGAAGGTACCGGGACTATCCTCAGACACTGTGGCAAGATTGATGGTAACATCTATGACAATGAGGTGGAGGCATTTTGAATACAATCCTCACAGATTCTCAAAGAAATACAGACTGCTATAGGAAACCTCCTTTTTAAGGGTTATGATCTGTTTAGCAGAAAGTGGATGATGCGTTGTGCTCATCAAAGGACTCCCAGGCTACACTTGGGTTCTTGGGTCTATACACCCCACAACCCTGAAGAAAAGAAGCTTAGCAGCCCTATTCGAGGCAGGTTCCTTCTGCCCCCCTTTTAGCCTCTATACTAAAGACTGTAAGAACCACTGAGAAAGAAACAAAGAATACACAGATTACCTGCATTCTTCCTTAGGGGCAGCAGTGTTTGTTTGATGGTTAGCGGAGAGCTTCCCAAAATTACATACCTTTTCCCTATCTCATTTGGACACAGTTTATTTTCTTTTTTGGGAAGCTTGGACCAATATTGCCTCATACTCTTGGATCCTGGAAATTGTAGAAGTTGGATATTAGGTTGCATTTTAGATGTTTCTAGTCCTCCATCCACAGTTCCCATCCCTTTTCAGTGATCCCTCTCAGAAGAGAATTACATCAGGAGTAGGGTTACCATATTTTGTGCCTCCTAATGGAGGACACTCCTGGGGGCCCCGCCCCCGCCCCAACTCCGCCCCCTCCCAAAGTCTCCGCCCCCTCCCCTGCTTCCCGCGAACATTTAATTCGCGGGAAGCCTGAAGCAGGGGTGTGGGGGGGAGGAGGCGCGGCCCCGGCTCCCAG